ATTATTTTATATTATTTTATTGTATGAGGAATACAATTGAACATAGCTGAATAAAATAGAAAGGATATTTTCTCCAAACAATTTCTGAGGGAGTACGCACATGCGGCTATTCTGTGTTGAGTGGTTAACGAAGAAACAGGTTCCCCTATATGCTTAATTTAGAGTTACTTAACTTTAGTTGTGATACAAACGTTGGGCTACAGTGCCTTGCAAAAGTATTCATCCCCCTTGGCGTTTTTCCTATTTTGTTGCATTACAACCTGTAATTTAAATGCATTTTTATTTGGATTTCATGTAATGGACATACACAAAATAGTCAAAATTGGTGAAGTGAAATTAAGAAAATTACTTCTTTAAAAAAATTCAAAAAAATTAATAACGGAAAAGTGGTGCGTGCATATGTATTCACCCCCTTTGCTATGAAGCCCCTAAATAAGATCTGGTGCAACCAATTACCTTCAGAAGTCACATAATTAGTTAAATAAAGTCCACCTGTGTGCAATCTAAGTGTCACATGATCTGTCACATGATCTCAGTATATATGCCTGTTCTGAAAGGCCCCAGAGTCTGCAACACCACTAAGCAAGGGGCACCATTAAAACCAAGGAGCTCTCCAAACAGGTCAGGGACAAAGTTGTGGAGAAGTACAGATCAGGGTTGGGTTATAAAATATAAAACAAATATCAGAAACTTTGAACATCCCACGGAGCACCATTAAATCCGTTATTAAAAAATTGAAAGAATATGGCACCACAACAAACCTGCCAAGAGAGGGCCGCCCACGAAAACTCATGGACCAGGCAAGGGGGGCATTAATCAGAGAGGCAACAAAGAGACCAAAGATAACCCTGAAGGAACTGCAAAGCTTGGGGATTGGAGTATCTGTCCATAGGACCACTTTAGGCCGTACACTCCACGGAGCTGGGCTTTACAGAAGAGTGGCCAGAAAAAAGCCATTGCTTAAAGAAAAAAATAAGCAAACACTTTTTCGCCAAAAGGCATGTGGGAGACTCCCCAAACATATGGAAGAAGGTACTCGGGTCAGATGAGACTAAAATTGAGCTTTTTGGCCATCAAGGAAAATGCTATGTCTGGCGCAAACCCAACACCTCTCATCAACCTGAGAACACCATCCCCACACTGAAGCATGGTGGTGGGAGCATCATGCTGTGGGGATGTTTTTCATCGGCAGGGACTGGGAAACTGGTCAGAATTGAAGGAATGATGGATGGCGCTAAATACAGGGAAATTCTTGAGGGAAACCTGTGTCAGTCTTCCAGAGATTTGAGACTGGGACGGAGGTTCACCTTCCAGTAGGACAATGACCCTAAGCATACTGCTAAAGCAACACTCGAGTGATTTAAGGGGAAACATTTAAATGTCTTGGAATGGCCTAGTCAAAGCCCAGACCTCAATCCAATTGAGAATCTGTGGTATGACTGAAAGATTGCTGTATAGCAGCGGAACCATTCACACTTGAAGGAGCTGGAGCAGTTTTACCTTGAAGAATGAGCAAAAATCCCAGTGGCTAGATGTGCCAAGCTTATAGAGATGTACCCCAAGAGACTTGCAGCTGTAATTGCTGCAAAAGGTGACTCTACAAAGTATTGACTTTGGGGGGGTGAATAGTTATGCACGCTCAAGTTTTCATTTTTTTGTCTTATTTCTTGTTTGTTTCACAATAAAAAAATATTCTGCATCTTCAAAGTGGTAGGCATGTTGTGTAAATCAAATGATACAAACCCCAAAAAAATCTATTTTAATTCCAGGTTGTAAGGCAACAAAATATGAAAAATGTCATGGGGGGTGAATACTTTCGCAAGCCACTGTATATGTTTCGATGTTTAATACATTATAAGGCTGCATGATGCGACTCTAATGATGATTTGAAAAAAGTCACATGAAAGGCATGATATCTGCTTTGTTTCTTGCGCAGGCTGCACACACTTCATCAGTCTCTCATTCACAATTTGACAAGCACTTGATAATGCTTCGAATTTCCCGGCAGCATCCCCCCGGAAAAATCCATGCCTTTTGCGGCCAGTGGCCTTTGTGCCCTTTGTGCCCTTGGGCTGAATATAATAATTATAATTCCCTTCTCCTGGCTTCCAATCGCCGTGCTCCGAAGCACCTCTCACTCACATGGCTCTCAGATCTCTCAATTCTTATTAGCCAATGTCCGTCACGTTATCGGGTCCTTCTTACAGGCATCTCAGCTCTGAAGTAGGCTACAAGTGAAGACAGACACATTGGGGACGCAACTACGCGCGTCCTTCTTATCGAATTCCGAGGCGCATATTGAAGATGTTAGAAGAACCGTTCACATTTACTTTTCGTCAGCCAACTAGAGGAGTAGGCCTAACGAACAGCAAAAGCACTATGTCAATCTACTATCCCCCATAGTACAAAAGTTGACCTATTCTATTGGTCAACGTGTCCTTCTGTGCGAGAAATGAATATTCCAAACATAGTCTGTGACAGTTGTGGGATGCGATAGATCCCAAATTAATACAACCACTAGCATCAAAAAACATTTTAAAATCAATGAGGCTGATGCAACAGATCAAAACATTTAGCTACAAATCTTGACAAACTAGTAGGCTATTTCTTCACATTATAAGCGCAGCAATGTGCACACGGCAGTAGGCTATAAGCGCAAATGTTCCAAAATGCAATCAATTAGCGGAAAACACCATTCTCAAAAGTGACCGCAAATGCGATTATGTATGTAATGCTTTATTATAACGGTGCATTTTTATGGTGAAAATGATCTTCCCCAAACTTGAAACTCACACGCCGCTTACGTATGCCAGTGAGGCTCTACACCGGTTGTAAAGCTGATTAATGTGCTTAATTTTAAGAAGTTATTTGGCCACTTTAGTTGTGATACAAACCTTATCAAAACATATAGGCCTATGGGCTAGGCTACATGAGGTGTGCGACTAATATACTGTATCATTCACAAGTGATAGGCTAATATTGTCACCCATCAGACTACTCTTAATTGAATCTTGTCTTTACATATAGTAAATAATATATGTGTGAAATTAGTTTTGATTTAGAATGGACCATTATTATGCACCTGTCTCGGAACAGGGGAAGGGGGAAAATACATGTAATCTATGCACTTAAATAGCGAATGGAGGACGCTTTTCCCATGGTTCATTTTCATGCCAGCCAGGTAGGCTATACTCCTGTTGTAAAGAGAAGCAATGTGCTTAATATTAGGAAAGTTGAGACATAAATATAGTAGGCCTAGCCTATAGAAAGCTGATGGGATCCTGCTCTTCTTCATAGAGCCCATCAAAACTCTGTTTTCTCACGGAATTGCATAGCCTACAGAAATGTTGCGCAACATGAGCTCATGGCCTCTCATTAAGTGTTTGAGTATTAGGCAGTTAGCAAGTTTGGTAGGCTACTAATGACCATCAGCAGCATCAGAGCTTGGAGAAGCCTAGTTACTGTGACTAAACGGTCACATGAAATTTGACTGCGGTCATGACTCGTGACCGCCGCTGTGGTGGTAATACGGTCACCGTAACAGCCCTATGCGTGGGTGTGTGTGTGTGGTTGAACATAACCAGGAAGGAAACAAGGAAATTATAAATCACTTAAGGTTATGAATCAAACATTTAGTCGGTGGCTGTCTTGAAATCACTACAAAATGACAAAGAGTCACTTCACTGTTAAGGGCCACCATGTGTTGGTTTCTTCAAACGGTACAGCAATTGAACTATGGACATTTCCTATCCATGTCCTACTTTGGGGGAGAGACGACTGTAAGGGGGTTATTATTTTAGTCAAATAAGGACTATTTTATACATGGCCTCTGTTTGTGCTACCAGACCGGATCCAAACCAGCAGCATCTGTATTCTGCTCATATGTTTAGGAACCAGATAAATAATAATATATGTTACGGTATAGAACCTGGATATGTGTCAGACATGGAGATTGACAGCACACACAGAGAGACGGAAAGAAAGAGAGAGATGGAGGGAGGGAGGGAGGGAGGGATCGAGGCCGCATGATGAAAAGGTGGGGAGAGGGAACAGAGAAAAGGAATAAACACCTCCTCGCCTGAGAGGCAGTGTGTACACACAGTACTACACACACACACACACACACACACACACACACACACACACCCAGACACACACACACACTGACATGCCTGAGAGGTACTGTATACACACACTCTGACAAGCTAGGTCTGGGGCTGCACAGAGAAATAAACACCTCGGGACAGACATAGTTGGTTTCTGTCTAAAGTGTTAATTACCTTGTAATTACCTGTTAATCACTTCACTGTTAATATTTTAAAGTGTCATAACAACAGTGTTATTGCAGCACCAGGTAAGTGTGTGTGGCTGTTAGTGGGTTAACATGTGAAGTAGTGAAGTGTTGAGGCCTCTCTGTCTGTTCCAGTCGCTTGTTCCTAGCTCAGTCCTGTCGGTCTGTGTGTGTTGTCGTGAGAGGGAGTCTGTGACTTTGTGTGTGTGTGTGTGTGTGTGGTGCAGTCTTGAGGCAGGAGTCCCACATGTTCACACACAGTAAAACATGTTAATGTGTAAACCAGAGCGGTGCTCAGCTAGCGGGAGGTTAATTTACAACTCTGAGACTGAGTCCCTATCACATCCTCACATACAGCCTCCTTCCTATCGGATCATTAATTCTTCATTAAACCTTGCAGAGCAGCACTTATAGTGGATAGGTAGAGGTTTTCCAGAGGGCAGCCCCAAATATCCAACCACATCAACACAGAGAGATGGAGGGTGCGAGGGAGCGAGCCAGACACAACATTTCCCTAGACGAGCACCAGCATTGCAGCCTTCGTGCGTTTCAGAGTGTAGGGATTACACCTGATCGTTAATCAATCAGATAGGGTTTACACCATAAACATATGAGCCTAGTGGACCAGTCTCCTGACAGCTATCCCCATGTGTGTGTGTGTGTGTGTGTGTGTGTGTGTGTGTGTGGGTGGATGTGATATATGCTTACATGATCTTCTGTTGGAGATCTTCTGGGCCTGAAAAACATGGGCTGCGGGCCGACGCAGTGCAAATCTCCTGGAAGAGGAGAGGAAGAAGAAGCACAATAAAACCATCAGCTTTCACAGCCACACTGGGATTAATAAACACGTTCTGCTATGATACCCAGAAATATTCTTAAATATCCATCACGTTCATTCTTAAGGACGAAAAAAAGAGAGAAAAATAAATGGAAGAAGAGGCAGGAGAGAGAGAGGGAGAAAAAGAGAGAGAAAAAATGGAGGAAGAGAGAAAGAGGGAGAGAGAGAGGTGGGATAAGAAAGTACAAAAAACACAATGCCTGCTATTGAAAAAGCTGCTTGTCGGTCGCCAAGAAACTGCCCCAGCCCTCCAGCCCTGTGTTGCACATCAGCAGCCATATAAGCACACCACTGTGCGATTTTCCATCCGCTCCCCTTCCAAAGTGGATCAGTACCAGTGCTATCATTTTCTGTCATTACTCATTTCGGGCCAGACGTGCGCGGAAATCCAAAGTATTTTGGCAGTGTGAGGCCAGGCAAAAAAAGGGAAGAAAAAGTCAAACGGAGGGAGGAATGGAAGGAGGGGAAAGTAAAGAGAGAGAAATAAATAGTAATTCCTTTCATTGTGACGGCAGTGAAACACTAGCGCTGGGCTGGGCTTGTAATGAGGGTGGCAAACAGACAGGCATATAGACAGGCCTTGCCCTGGCCTCTGGCTGAAAAATGGGGAAAGGGGCCAAGGGGGAAAGGTGGAGAGGAGAGGAAGACAGGGATTTAGAGGGGGGGGCTGGGCTTGTAATAGGGGTGCCAGGCAGACAGACAGGGGTGAGGAGGACAGGGGGTTACAGGGGAGAGGTGGAGATGAAGGACATAGTTTAGAGGGTGTAGAGGAGCTGCCTGACCCGTAGCTCACATGCCCTAAAACAGTTAGGAGGGGACAAGGCTGAGGGAGAGGGTGACAGGAGGGAGAGGGGGACGGGGGGGTAGGTAGTTAGGGTGTCTGTCTAGGTAGCTCACTCACCTCTCCTGGAACTGTTTGGAGGGTATGAGGCCGGCGCGGGGGTTGGCATGGCTGTCTTGTTTGGCCTGCCACCAGGTTGCATCATCCTGGCTCATGATCTGAAGGATATCTCCCCTCTTGAAGGTCAGGCCCGCCTCCTTACATGGGATGGCTTTGTCCTCCGCTGGTTCGTAGTCAAACAGCGTCTTCACAAACATCTGGAGAGAGATGAGAGGGAGGGGGATTTGAGAGCGGGGGGAGAGGGAGAGAGAACAAGAGAAGGGAGGCAAGAGCGAGGGGGGGGGGAGAGGGAGAGAGGATGAGAGGACCAGAGAGAGAGCGAGAGAGAGACAGGTGGTGGAGAGACAGAGAAAGAGAGATAAAAAATACGACAGCAGTTACCTTTCCACACTCCGGCATCTCCTCTCCCCCCTAGTCGCTGTGGCGACATCAAGGTAGGCCGTCGCTACAGCCATGTGAGCCTGCCCGGCTTCGGAACCAGAACAGATGCCTTTCACTGTCGCTTAACGTGATTGGCCAGGAAAGGTCAGTGCAATCAGGAGTCTATTACCTGCAGCCATTGGCCCAGACCTCTCTTGGTTATTCCATCAACATGGCCTGTGTCCCAAATGGCACCCTATACCCTACATAGTCCACTTCTTTTACCAGGGCAGATAGAGCTCTGGTCAAAAATAGTGCACTATATAGGGAAATGGGGGGAGGATACTCCTAAAGACTAAAGTCTTTCAGCTGTCTCCGAGCGTGGCGAGACTTTAACATCGACTGAGTCAGAGCCTCCAAATGTGACTCCTGCTTCGTTCCGCTTGGTGATTTGGGCTGCAGATAATAGGTCCCTAACCCTTTCCCTACTGAACAGGGGAAAATATGTTTTTTCCGAGGTGGGCTAATTTATCTTGGCAGTCAGGAGAGGCAGGGACACACCTTGTCATCAACACAACAGAGCTAAGACCTGAGAGAGGGAAATCTTTCCCTTTATAGCGAAAAGAAACTCACTACATCCTCACTCAACAACGCAACAGTAGTGTAACAGTAAATTACAAGTCCTTAGCCACTGGTGAGCGAGAGAGAGGAGAGAGAGGAGTGAGAGAGAGAGAGAGAGAGAGAGAGAGAGAGAGAGAGAGAGAGAGAGAGAGAGAGAGAGAGAGAGAGAGAGAGAGAGAGAGAGAGAGAGAGAGAGAGAGAGAGAGAGAGAGAGAGAGAGAGAGAGAGAGCAAAGTCCCTGCATGTGCCAGGGTGATTTAAGGAGTGCTATGTTGCAATGTAGTGAAATTATGTTTCAGACGGGAACGTTTTGTTTGGGTCTGGCTAAACAGCCCAACAGCAGAATAAACCAAGTACATCCTTGCTGAAAGCTCCCGGTTGTCTCTCCCTCTCCTCTCCTCTCCTCTCTCCCCTTGTCCATCTTTTTTTATTTTTAGAGTTTTACACGTGTACCCAATTTGCCCGCACTTCCACATATTTATTGTAGCCCAGGAAAAATAGTAAACTAGCTCTTCGCAGAGGGGAGGCTGAAGTTCTGGCACTGATACACAGGTTTAGATTGATGTCTGAAATGGACATATTAAAACCATTAAAGTATGACAGAGAGTACAACCCCCCTCCAACCCACCCACACATACATGCATACCTGCACCCTGTGTTCTGACAAATTATATTCCAGCTTGTGTTTTGACCTGAGCCTCAGCTCGGGGACCTACTCTCTGTTATTGATAAATGTCTATGAAAGACTATACATCACTACTATGAGTTGGAGAATACAGGATACAGCCAGACAATGGATTTCCAGTTAAAACACCCACATAACATTACGAGCAACTACATTTACAGTACACATACACCTACAGCCACAACAGAAACTCAGACACAGGAAACCATATCACATTCTACGGATCAGTTCAACATAAGTTTTTCTGAATCAATTAGTTGATGGTTGCTTAATTGATATCTGTGTCCAGCAATGTAAAATATGACTTACATTTGTTGTTTTAGAATTTGGATTCCTTAATTTTCAGAGGTACCTGCAACTTACCACAGGTGAGATAAATTACACATAAACGAGAATCACTTGTCTAGAACCAAATTAATTTGAATTTGGAATAATTTAGTCCAGGACAATCTTTTTTTTGGTTATTGGTCCTGTGCAGTTGTAAATCAAACGAATACAAGTGTGAACACCCAGTCATATAAAAAAATAAATATGTATTTTAGAATAAATAGTGAATCGTGCAACTGTGTCAATATATTTGACTACAAATGTATGCGTCTCAAAAGGCACCGTATTCCCTATATGGTGCCTCATGGGCCCTGGTCAAAAGTAGGGCACTATATATGGACTAAGGTATCATTTGGGATGCAGACTAAGACTCCAGCACTAGAGGCAGTAAGCAGCTAGAGAGGACCTCTCAACCCACTCACAAAAGGTTTTGGCTATGTCTGAAATGGCACCAAATTCCCTATATAGAGCACTACTTTTAACCAGAGCCATATACAGTGCATTCGGAAAGTATTCAGACCCCTTCCCTTTTTCAACATTTTGTTACGTTACAGCCTTATTCAAAAATTGATCAAATAAAATCCTCATCAATCTACACACAATAACCCATAATGACTAAGTGAAAAGAGGTTGTAGAATCTTTTGCAAATGTATTAAAAATAAAAAACATAAATACCTTATTTACATAAGTATTCAGACCCTTTACTATGAGACTCAAAATTGAGCTCAGGTGCATCCTGTTTCCATTGATCATCCTTGAGATGTTTCTACAACTTGATTGGAGTCCACCTGTGGTAAATTCAATTGATTGGACATGATTTGGAAAGGCACACACCTGTCTATATAAGATCCCACAGTTGACTGTCACGTGCGTTTAAGGACGGGTCAGACCAAGGCGCAGCGTGAAATGCATACATGTTTATTATAAAGATAAACACACGAACAAAAACAACGTAACGTCCTCAGGCTAAACACAATAAAAGCCTCTACACGGAAAAAGATCCCACAACCCATAATTGCCAATAGTATGATCCCCAATCAGAGACAACGAGCGACAGCTGCCTCTGATTGGGAATCACACCCGGCCAAACATAGAACTACAAAACCTAGATCACAAACATAGAAAATACAACATAGAATATCCACACCCTGACTCAACATACAAGAGTCCCATGAGTCAGGGCGTGACAGTACCCCCCCCCCCCCCCCCAAAAGGTGCGGACTCTGACCGCACCAACCTGAAATGACAGGGAAGGGTCCGGGTGGGCGTGACGACCACATTCTCTCAGCCTCCCCGTTACGCCCCTGATCTGGTCTGGACCTCGGCGCGCTGCTTCACCTCTCCTTCCTCCCACGATTTACCAAGCCCTGTCTGGACCCTGATGTGGGAGACCCCGAACCTGGAGAGGGGCTGACGTCTGGGTCTGGACTGGAGCCGCTGACCGGAGCTGGACCGGGCACCGGTGGAGCGGACTGCTCTGGTTCTGGAGTGGATCCGCTGACCAGAGCTGGACTGGGCACCGGTGGAGCGGACTGCTCTGGCTCCGGAGTGGAGCAGCTGACCGGAGCTGGACTGGACCCCGGTGGAGCGGACTGCTCTGGCTCCGGAGTGGAGCAGCTGACCGGTGCCGGATCAGGCACCGGTGGAACGAGCACGGGCCGTGCCGGACTGGACACACGCACCACTGGCTTGGTGCGAGGAACAGGAACGGGCCGGGCCGGACTGGGAACACGCACCACTGGCTTGGTGCGGGGAGTAGGCACGGGCCGGACCGGACTGGGAACACGCACCCCTGGCCTGGTGCGAGGAGAAGGAACGGGCCGGGCCGGACTGGGAACACGCACCACTGGCCTGGTGCAGGGAGCAGGAATGGGCCGGGCCGGACTGGGAACACGCACCACTGGCTTGGTGCGGGGAGCAGGCACGGGCCGGACCGGACTGGGAACACGCACCCCTGGCCTGGTGCGAGGAGCAGGAACGGGCCGGACTGGGAACACGCACCACTGGTCTGGTGCGAGACGCAGGCACGAGGTGTACCGGACTGGGAACTGACGTTAGAGATCTCCGACTGTACCAGTCTTTCACTCTCCGCGCCCAGTCCTCCTCCTCCCGTGAAGACTCCTCCCTGAGCCCCCACGAGTGCAGTGGTCGGGGCTCTTCTCCATCGATCCCCGACCACGCTTTTACCCCCCCCAAAAAAAAATATTGGGGCTGTCTCTCGGGCTTCTTCCTCGGCCGGCTCCTTCTACGTTGTCGTTGCTCCTCTCTAAACCGGGCCTCCACTGTCTCCTCCCAAGGACGGCGATCCATCCCAGCCTGAATCTCCTCCCATGTCCAGGATCCCTTTCCGTCCAGGATCTCCTCCCATGTCCAGGCTGTCTGCTCCTGGGCACGCTGCTTGGTCCGTGTTTGGTGGGATCTTCTGTCACGTGCGTTTAAGGATGGGTCAGACCAAGGTGCAGCGTGAAATGCATACATGTTTATTATAAAGATAAACACACGAACAAAAAACAACAAAACAACGTAACGTGAAGTCCTCAGGCTAAACACAATACAAGCCTCTACACGGAACAAGATCCCACAACCCATAATTGCCAATAGGCTGCCTAAGTATGATCCCCAATCAGAGACAACGAGCGACAGCTGCCTCTGATTGGGAATCACACCCGGCCAAACATATAACTACAAAACATAGATCACAAACATAGAAAATACAACATAGAATATCCACACCCTGATTCAACATACAAGAGTCCCATGAGTCAGGGCGTGACATTGACAGTGCATGTCAGAGCAAAAACCAAGCAATGAGGTCGAAGGAATTGTCCGTAGAGCTCCGAGACAGGATTGTGTCAAGGCACAGATCTGGGGAAGGGTACCAAAAAATGTCTGCAACATTGAAGGTCCCCAAGAACACAGTGGCCTCCATCATTCTTAAATGGAATAAGTTTGGAACCACCAAGACTCTTCCTAGAGCTGGCCACCCGGCCAAACTGAGCAATCGGGGGAGAAGGGCCTTGGTCAGGGAGGTGGCCAAGAACCTGATAGTCACTGACAGAGCTCCAGAGTTCCTCTGTGGAGATGGCAGAACCTTCCAGAAGGAAGGCCTTTATGGTTAGTGGCCAGACGGAAGCCACTCCTCAGTAAAAGGCACATGACAGCCAGCTTGAAGTTTGCCAAACAGCACCTAAAGGACTCTCAGACCTGATGAAACCAAGATTGAACTCTTTGGCCTGAATGCCAAGCGTCACATCTGGAGGAAACCTGGCACATGGTGGTGAAGCATGGTGGTGGCAGGATCATGCTGTGGGGATGTTTTTCAGAAGCAGGGACTGGGAGACTAGTCAGGATTGAGGGAAAGATGAACGGAGCAAAGTACAGAGAGATCCTTGATGAGCACTCAGGACCTCAGACTGGGGCGAAGGTTCACCTTCCAACAGGACAACGACCCTAAGCACACAGCCAAGACAACACAGGAGTGGCTTTGGGACAAGTCTCTGAATGTCCTTGAGTGGCCCAGCCAGAGCCCAGACTTCAACCCGATCGAACATCTCTGGAGAGACCTGAAAATAGCTGTGCAGCGACACTTCCCATCCAACCTGACAAAGTTGGAGATGATCTGCAGAGAAGAATGGGAGAAACTCCCCAAATACAGGTGTGCCATGCTTGTAGTGTCATACCCAAGAAGACTTGAGGCTGTAATCGCTGACAAAGGTGCTTCAACAAAATACTGAGTAAAGGGTCTGAATACTTATGTGAAATTAACCAAATTCTCTAAAAACCTGTTTTTGCTTGGTCATTAAGGGGTATTGCGTGTAGACTGATAAAAAACAAAAAAAAATGTAATCAATTTAAGAATAAGGCTGTAACGTAACAAAATGAGGAAAAAGTCAAGGGGTCTGAATACTTTCCGAATGCACTGTAGGCCCTGTTCAAAATCAAGGCACCCTATTTCCTAAATATTGAACTACTTTTGACCAGAGCCCTATGTGCCCTGGTCAAAAGTAGTGCACTAATAGAGAATAGGATGCCATTTTGGACTCAGCCCATGTGTAACCCAATCAGCATAATGAGTACGGCAGGATAGCAGTAGGACCTTACCTTGGGCTCCTTGCTCGGCGCCTCATCTTTGATGCCTGGTATTATTTTAAACGTAATGGCCCCTTGGGACTGGGACTGAAACACAGACAGGAGATAGACAGATAGAGAGAGAGAAAGAGAGAGAGGGAGAGGGAGAAAGAGAAAGACAGAGAAAGAAACAGAGAGCGAGAGATAGAGAGAGAGTGCGAGAGAGAGAGAGAGAGAGAGAGAGAGAGAGAGAGAGAGAGAGAGAGAGAGAGAGAGAGAGAGAGAGAGAGAAAATAAAGACTCCAGTTTCATTGCAAATAACTCAAAACCCAACTAGCCTAATCCAATGAGAGAGCTTTAATATGAAGAGCTGTTTTATTTTTCAACAATAGAGGATAGGATGACTGTTGAGAGTGGAACAGAGGGAAGAGGAGAGCCAAGAGGATTCTGGTCCTGATTCCTGAAGCCACTGCTTTTAACAGTCTACCAGTTCCAAACGATCTTTCTCTTTCCTCTCCAGCTCCATATCCCCAGAGCTGATCTGAGGACTGTGGCAGTGTGTGTGTGTGTGTGTCTGTGTGTGTTTAGAGGGACTACAAAGACCCCTACAGGAACCCCCTCCCTGCCTGTCTCTTCCAGGGGGAGTATGTGGCCCAACATGTCCCAAACAGAGGCCTGCTCCTGGGCCTGCTGGTACAGAAGCGGTGGCCAGAGTTTATCCTAGCCATTAACACATAGAGGAATCAGTGAGGATGAGTTAGGAGGAGAGAGTCCTGCCACTACAAACAAGGCTGTACATTTATATAGCCATGGGGCCAAAACACAACTATCAACAGCAGGTCAATGATAACACACACACCAGAATGCGGAGGATTTCATCAGGCTTCTTGTCATCCACAGGAATCCCGTTCACTTCCCTCAGCTCGTCCCCTACATGGATCAGACCTGGAATAGGGACAAGACAGGGGAGAGTGAGAGAGAGACCCATATTTATGTTTAGTTATTTTCCCTTTTGTAACTATTTGCACATTGTTATAACACTGTACATAGCCATAATATTCCTCTGAAATGTTTGTGAGTGTAATGTTTACTGTTCATTTTGACTGTTTATTTCACTTCTGTGCATACATACACAGCTATACACACTAGCAAATACTGGCGTACCTAATGTAAATCCTTTTGAAGTTAATACCAGGCTAAACAATACATAAGAATTAAACTGAGTATAATGTATGTGTGAGGTTGTATTGCTTTAGTCGCACACACAGCTCGGGGGGTTGTTCTCTGATCTCCAGCAGTGTGTGGCTCTCCTTCATGGTGGTATTAGTGATTATTTGGCTTGGCAAATCACCCCTACATATCAATTTCACACTGTGAGATCCCTACAGGGCATGAATACACTTTACATTACACACTGACTACAGGGGGCACAACAGAGAGAGAGAGAGAGAGAGAGAGAGAGAGAGAGAGAGAGAGAGAGAGAGAGAGAGAGACAACAACAACAACAACACAATTAGACCCAACCAAATCATGAGAAGACAAAAAGAGAATTACTTGACACATTGGAAAGAACAAACAAATAAACAGAGCAAACTAGAATGCTATTTGGCCCTAAACAGAGAGTACACAGTGGCAGAATACCTGACCACTGTGACTGACCCAAACTTAAGGAAAGCTTTGACTATGTACAGACTCAGTGAGCATAGCCTTGCTATTGAGAAAGGCCGCCGTAGGCAGACCTGGCTCTCAAGAGAAGACAGGCTATGTGCACACTGCCCACAAAATGAGGTGGAAACTGAGCTGCACTTCCTAACCTCCTGCCAAATGTATGACCATATTAGAGACACATATTTCCCTCAGATTACAGCGATCCACAAAGAATTCGAAAACAAACCCAATTTTGATAAACTCCCTTATCTACTGGGTGAAAAACCACAGTGTGCCATCACAGCTGCAAGATTTGTGACCTGTTGCCACAAGAAAAGGGCAACCAGTGAAGAACAAACACCATTGTAAATACAACCCATATTTATGTTTATTTATTTTCCCAATTGTACTTTAACTATTTGCACATTGTTACAACACTGTATATATACACATAATATGACATTTGAAATGTCTTTATTCTTTTGAAACTTCTGAGTGTAATGTTTACTGTTAATATTTATTGTTTATTTCACTTTTGTTTACTATCTACTTCACTTGCTTTGGCAATGTTAACACACGTTTCCCATGCCAATAAAGCCCTTAAATTGAATTGAATTGAATTGAATTGAGAGAGAGAGAGAGAGAGAGAGAGAGAGAGAGAGAGAGAGAGAGAGAGAGAGAGAGAGAGAGAGAGAGAGAGAGGGTGGGTGGAGAGACAGGGAGCGAGAGTTGAGAGAAAGAGAGACAAAGAAGAAGAGAGAAAACGTACCACTTCTGTCTGCTGCTCCACCTCTCATGATCCTGGCAACAAGGATGGCTCCTGTGTGCTCATCACATTTTATTGTGGCTCCCTGTGTTACACACACACACACACACACACACACACACACAGTAATTTAAAAAAAAATAGATAGATGAAGTATTATATGATGTTACACGTGTACCACTAAAAAGAAATTCCATCATCAACATCCAACAAACATTTTCTGGTCAACCATCTCTTCTAACATGATACGGTTTCCAACCTCAACCCCACTTCAATCTACCACACTGAGGTGAATCTCATCACTGGTTGACATGAATGCCATAGCACAGGCTGTACAGTACAGCTAGCCATTTTCAGTCCAAATCTTTCATGGAATAGACATCCATCTTGGGCCCCTGTCTGTCTGGACTAGCCCCTGACTGAGAGAGAGGTGATTGTGGGTTCGATTCCCACGGGGGGCCAGTATGAAAAAATATATAAATAATAATAATGTATGCACTCACTAACTGTAAGTCGCTCTGGATAAGAGCGTCTGCTAAATGACTAAAATGTAAATGTAAAAATGTAATCCCCCAGAAGGTAGCTAGCCCTTAGCCCTTTACGCAGCAGCAGCAGGCATTCATCCAGACACTCTCTCTCCCTCTCTGTAGCAACACGCATGCCCCGCCAACCTGAGGATCTGTCTTTTTCAGCCATCTATTTCCTGTGTTTGAGGGGTGCAAAATCCACTTGTAACTTAAATCTCGCTGAATTGATTGCTTTCATTTTACTCCTGCGACTCTTTCATACTCTTGCTTGTGCCTGTCGATTTTTTCCCGTTAACGTTACGACTGCGGAAATGTTTGTAATGACCTGTCAAACACACCCCGGTAAAGGCTGAAATGGGCTCAATGGAATACATAGTCTTTCCATTGCATCTATAACAACGCTTCGTCAGGGATTTAACGCATCATCTCGACACTTATATCACAAGAAAGATCATAAATATTACTTTATTTTAATGGGTGTTCATTTTTTGTGGAATTGAGTCATAATTTAATACAGTTGAAATGTTTACAAATTAGATGCGCTGAAATGAAAGGAACTTCCGAAAATGAACACTCAGATTATAGTGATATTATGTCTGATCTCGCAAACAATGTAAAGTATGTATAGATAGGTGTAATCAGAGCCAAGCATGTTGATTTCTATTCAAAAGGTTATCCTGCTATTGACACACTTGTTGAATTATGCAACAGAACATGACAACAACAGTAATTAATGATGCAGGCTAAGTCTAGACAGCGCAGGTGAGTGCAGGTTGGCCTAAACAGAGCAAGTATTAGACTTTGTTAATCTATTCATATTTGCAAATACACCCAGTGTATTTATGCAAATGAGGCACCTATAATTGTCTTTATTTTAACACAAAGTATTTAAAAAATACCTGATATCATAAAAAAAATTGTGCATTCTAAGAAAAGAAAAGTGAAAATGGACAATAAATTGAATACCTGAATTCACACCAAAATCCCTGTCCGTGCCAGTAAAATGTTATATGTGCTATAATTCAGTCAATATTTGATGGATTAAAAAAAATCGAAAGTTTGGAGTATCCATTGTCCAACTGTTGCATTTATTAGAATTGTTTTTCAAACCTTTTAACAATTTTGATGACCATTGCCTTTCTCTCTCTCTTACTCTCTCTCTCTCTCTCTCTCTCTCCAGACACCCTGTTTTCAGTGTTGTCTTTACCTCATAGCTGAGTTTCCTTTTCCATTTCAACTGACAGTGTTCAGTTCAGCTAGTGATGTGTTTACCAGGGCTTCTCTCTCTCCTCGCTCTCTCACTCTTTAGCCATGCTGAGACAAAACAACATATCGGCAGAGCGCCGAATGGCAGTTGGACGGTGGCAGACAGCAAGACGAGAGACGGCGAAACGTTTCGAATCCGAGCACAGCATTGAGTGTCATCACCGCCATCACCATCGCTTCGCCATCCGACCGGACCGAGCCAAGCCAGACGGGTAACGGGTCCGCAGACGTGTAGTCTAGACACATAGTTTGTTGCGAAACAGAAACATGTCATCCCTCTCTTTCTTCCTCTCTCTCCTACCTGTTATTCACATCATCTTTATGACTGTTATTGTTTCTGTAAAGGAAGAGCCTTCTCACTTCTTCACTGTGTGGATGTGCTCTATTTCAATCTGTCTAACTGTCTAACCAACTGCCATTTATTGTAACCTACTGCCACTAGGGCCTAGCCAGGAACACTCAGCGACAACTAGCCTACGTCAATGATGAGTCAATGGTCCACCACAATTATTTATTGTTTGTTTTTCCTGGGTCTACCTACCTACAGTACATCCACAGGCCCAATGTGACAGATCACAGGGTAGGAAGGTTTCAGAGACCCTGTGTGCCTTGCCTCCCAAATGGAGCCCTATTACTTTTGACCAGGGCCCACCCATATGACTCATAGGTCAAAAGTAGTGCACTATATATGAAATAGGGTGTCATTTGGGATGCAGACTCTGCCTTTTCTTAACTTCTCCAGGACCAGAAAGATCCTCTGGTTTCTACCACTTTATCACGACTGTAAATTACCATGTCACCATCATTGTTTTCGTGACCTGTTCCTTCCTAATGGGTTTTCTCCTCTAATAATAATTTCCTCAAGGTCTTTTCCTCTGTGTGATGTTGAGTTACGAAAAAGAGATGGCGGTTGGTCCTGATGGAAAGAGCAGAGGCGTTTGACGTCGGGATAAGACACTCCCTGGGCTAGAGATCTTCACAGCTTTTCCACTTAATCAAATAATTGGGTCAATTATGGTAACTGGAGAGGTTTCGGTAGGAGGGGTGGAGAGAGGGCAGCACACTGTAAGACCCTGGTGTCAAGGTCGTGGCTAACCCCTCTCTGTGACTATAAGCAGCTGGAACATTAAGTAATAGAGAGAGAGAGAGGAGAGAGAGCGAGAGCGAGAGGGCGAGACAGAGGGGGAGGGAGAGAGGGAGAGAGAGAGCGAGAAGGGGGGGCGAGACAGGAGAGAAAGGGGGGTAAAGGAGAGAAAGAGAGGGAGAAATAAATAAAAAAGAGAGAGAGAGAGAGAGAGAGAGAGAGAGAGAGAGAGAGAGAGAGAGAGAGAGAGAGGGAGAGGGAGAGAGACAGTATATAGGGCCTGTAATCTTTCAGAGCAGTGTCCAGACATGAGGGGCGTAGGGTTGCAGCTCTCTGCCTTTCATCTAGTGGGGATATTTTTGTTTTTGTCTGTGTGTTGTTGGCTGGGGGCCAGGTTGTGATGTGATGGAAGTTTTTATTAGGTTTCGTTGGTAGGGAGGGAGGCTCGTGGCTGGCTAAAGAGTAAATAAAGAAGTGAGTAAGCTCTATCTGTTCTTTGTCATTACCACTCCTTCCCTAATCGTATGTTGCTCTGGACGTCAGACTAGTCTAGTATAGTCAATCCAGAACTGGAACATGACCCACTTCCCAGAAGTGATGGGCCGATCCTTCTTCAGCCCAGAGCTACGCCAAGAGGGAGGGAGAGAGAAAGAGTAAGAGAGAAAGAGCGAGAGAAACAGAGCGAGAGAGCGAGAGAGAAAGAGAGAGTGGGTCAAACAAGTTCTACTTGATTTCATTTTCATTTCATTAGTGTCATTTAGCAGACACTCTTATCCAGAGCGACTTACAAATTGGAAGTGATAAGAGGACAGGTGAGTGCAGCCATCAGCCAAGTCATCAACCAGACTACTGACCATTCCTGGTCGTGTTAAGAGTGACCCACTCGTCACCCCATCCCACAGCAGTCCACACGTCCTCGCCACATCGTTACAGGGCCTCAATGAGCTGTGTGGAAAGGTTGGTACACTTCATTCAATATTCTCCCGGGACAAATTCTGAAATGTATATTTTCTGGAAGCTAACGGACCTGACATGCCTTGGAAGCACAACGAGAGATAGAGGCTCCTTCATGGTACGGAGGGGTATAAAGTTTAAACATTTTGACCCCGTCGTTAACTTGCCCCCCTGCCTCTGTGCCCTGCTGATGCCCTGTGGTTAACTCTCATCAACAGCACTGATGCATAGCTCCTAATGAGCACGGCCATTGCAAATACATAAACAGACCAGGCCAGCTCGGGTCTGCACGCGCACACAAACACGCACGCACACACACACACACACACACACACGAGAGCCAATTTCCATACTGTATATTCCAAGACAGACCAGAGATATGACAATTCTAGTCTATCAAAAGCTTTTTCTGCATCTGTTGTTTCTGATGAAGCATTTAAGATTTGTAATAGTTGACCGGAGGTTATCCAAGGATAAATATTTTTTAACAAACCCACACACACACACGCACACACACACACACACGTTGTGCCTTGTCGTGCCTTCTTCACGACTGTGTTGGTGCGTATGGACCATGTTAATTCCTTAGTGATGTGGACACCGAGGAACTTAAAGCTCTCAACCTGCTCCATTGCAGCACCGTCGATGTGGTTGGGGGTGTGCTCGGCCCTCCGTTTCCTGTAGACAACAATCAGCTCCTTTGTCTTGCTGATGGGAAAGGTTGTTGTCCTGGCAACACACTGCCAGGTCACTGACCTCCTCCCTATAGGCTGTCTCATCGTTGTCGGTGATCAGGCCTACCACCGTTGTGTCGTCAGCAAACTTAATGATGGTGTTGGGGTCATGCGTGGCCACGCAGTCGTGGGTGAACAGGGAGTACAGGAGGGGACTAAGCCAGATCCATGAGGGGCCCCCGCGTTGAATGTCTACATGGCGGATGTGCTGTTGCCTACCCTTACCACCTGGGGTTGGCCTGTCAGGAAGTCCAGGATACACTTGTAGAGGGAGGTACAGGAGGGGACTAAGCCAGATCCATGAGGGGCCCCCGCGTTGAATGTCTACATGGCGGATGTGCTGTTGCCTACCCTTACCACCTGGGGTTGGCCTGTCAGGAAGTTTAGTGGTAAGCTTGGAGGGCACTATGGTGTAGAACGCTGAGCTGTAGTCAATGAACAGCATTCTCACATAGATATCCAGGTGGGAGAGGGCAGTATGGAGTGCAATACAGATCGCTTTATCTGTGGATCTGTTGGGGCGGTATGCGAATCGCGGTATGCGAATTGAAATGGGTCCACGATGTCTGGGATGATGGTGTTGATGTGAGCCATGACCAGCCTTTCAAAGCAGGCTACCTTGGAGTTCTTGGGCACAGGAACTACGGTGGTCTACTTGAAACATGTAGGTATTATAGACAGGGTCAGGGAGAGGTTGAAAATGTAAGGGAAGACACTTGCCAGCTGATCAGCGCATGCTCTGAGTACGTGTCCTGGTAATCCATCTGGCCCCGCGGCCTTGTGAATGTTAACCTGTTTAAAGGACTTACTCACATCGGCTACAGCGAGCGAGATCACACAGTTGTCCAGAACAGCTGGTGCTCTCATGCATGGTTCAGTGTTTTTATTTTTTATTTTTTTTTGGGGGGGGGGGGGGGGGGTAGATCAGCTTAATATTGCAGATAGACTGTCACTTCCAATCCCCCATGTTTTATATATATATACTCCCCTTTATTCCTTTTCAACCCCGCCATCCTTTCCCTACTTGGGGTAAATTAGTGAACAACAATGCCCAGGCCTCTACTTCCAGCCTATACTTACTATCTACACCTTATGGACACAGTCAATTTTACAATAATTATATTTTATTTGTTTTTGCTCCTGAACGTCTTCTACTCTCAACCTCTCCGATCATTTTCATGATGTCCATCCGGTTTGCTTCTATATGCCATATCTACAGTGGGGGAAAAAAGTATTTAGTCAGCCACCAATTGTGCAAATTCTCCCACTTAAAAAGATGAGAGAGGCCTGTAATTTTCATCATAGGTACACGTCAACTATGACAGACAAAATGAGAAAGAAATTCCAGAAAATCACATTGTAGGATTTTTTATGAATTTATTTGCAAATTATGGTGGAAAATAAGTATTTGGTCAATAACAAAAGTTTCTCAATACTTTGTTATATACCCTTTGTTGGCAATGACACAGGTCAAACGTGTTCTGTAAGTCTTCACAAGGTTTTCACACACTGTTGCTGGTATTTTGGCCCATTCCTCCATGCAGATCTCCTCTAGAGCAGTGATGTTTTGGGGCTGTCGCTGGGCAACACGGACTTTCAACTCCCTCCAAAGATGTTCTATGGGGTTGAGATCTGGAGACTGGCTAGGCCACTCCAGGACCTTGAAATGCTTCTTACGAAGCCACTCCTTCGTTGCCCGGGCGGTGTGTTTGGGATCATTGTCATGCTGAAAGACCCAGCCACGTTTCATCTTCAATGCCCTTGCTGATGGAAGGAGGTTTTCACTCAAAATCTCACGATACATGGCCCCCTTCATTCTTTCCTTTACACGGATCAGTCGTCCTGGTCCCTTTGCAGAAAAACAGCCCCAAAGCATGATGTTTCCACCCCCATGCTTCACAGTAGGTATGGTGTTCTTTGGATGCAACTCAGCATTCTTTGTCCTCCAAACACGACGAGTTGAGTTTTTACCAAAAAGTTATATTTTGGTTTCATCTGACCATATGACATTCTCCCAATCCTCTTCTGGATCATCCAAATGCACTCTAGCAAACTTCATACGGGCCTGGACATGTACTGGCTTAAGCAGGGGGACACGTCTTGCACTGCAGGATTTGAGTCCCTGGCGGCGTAGTGTGTTACTGATGGTAGGCTTTGTTACTTTGGTCCCAGCTCTCTGCAGGTCATTCACTAGGTCCCCCCGTGTGGTTCTGGGATTTTTGCTCACCGTTCTTGTGATCATTTTGACCCCACGGGGTGAGATCTTGCGTGGAGCCCCAGATCGAGGGAAATTATCAGTGGTCTTGTATGTCTTCCATTTCCTAATAATTGCTCCCACAGTTGATTTCTTCAAACCAAGCTGCTTACCTATTGCAGATTCAGTCTTCCCAGCCTGGTGCAGGTCTACAATTTTGTTTCTGGTGTCCTTTGACAGCTCTTTGGTCTTGGCCATAGTGGAGTTTGGAGTGTGACTG